AGACAAAGGGGCGGAAAGAATATTTGAAAAATACAGTGAGCAAATCTTTCCAAATTTAATGAAATACACAAATCTACACATCCAAGTTGTTAAAGTCACTACGTAGAAGTTGAGCCTGTGGATGAGAACCCCATCCTGGCTGACACCTTGATTACAACCTGGTGTGACCCTGAAGCACAGAACCCAGCTACGCCATGCCTGAACTCCTGCCCCCACAGAAATGGTGAGATAGTAAGTATGTGTTCATGGGGCACCTGGGTGGCTCAGGTGGTTAAGTGCCCACCTTTGGCTCAGGTCTTGATCCCAGGGTCCTAGGATTGAGCCCATGTTGGGCTCCCTCCTCAGCGGGGAGTCTGCTTCTTCCTCTGCCTCTGCTCCTTCCTGCCCTGCTCCTGCTCATGCTCTCTCTCAAATATATAAATCTTAAAAAAAAAAAAAAAAGTATGTGTTCAAGCCACTACGTGTGTGGCTATTTCTTACCCAGCTACAGAAAATTAATACACTGGGTTTCAAACCCAGGTCTGTCTGGCTCCCTCATTCTTTGCTCTTTGTCCCTTTCCTGATTAGTTAAACGTATTGTGAAAGGTGTTAACTGAGGAGTTGGTAGAGATTACAGACTTACAGAGTTCCAAGAAGCTCACAGGTCATTAGTCCAGCCCCCCTATGACAAGCAGATCCCCCTCTCTCAAGGGAACACCTAAGAAGGTTGGGATATTGAGCTAGAAAACAGTGGCCTGAGTCCCACTAACATTGAGATGATCACTAGGGATAACTATAAGTAGTGCTTTTAAAGATTTTTTATGATTCTTGGAGACCCATTGATTGTGATCTTTAGTCTCTGTTTTCCTATAATTGTTAGCAATAAGAACACTGGTAAAATTTGAAAACATCTGTGTGCTTGTTTCAGAGCCTTTGGGACAGGGTGGGGTGAGGAACTTGAGTCTTGTTTCACAGACAACCATCTTCATTGACTGTGAAAGTGACAGTGACCAAAAGTGAAGTGACCGAGTGTTTATCACCTGCTCAAAAACACTCGGAGCAGAATTTTCAAGGCACCATTGCTAATCTTGAAGCCATATCATAATTATGAAACATTATGATTTATAATTTTGAAACTTCAAATGTGAATTGAAGCCTAATACACAACTGTAACATTGTTACATAAACAATACAGCCCTGATTTTCTAGGACTGTTGAAAGTTCTCATATTTCATTCACTATCTCTGTCAAATCACACTCATCACTCATCAAATCACATGTTCCAATATTTGATTCAGAACCATCTGCATTACAATTTTTCACTGTTACAAAAATAGTTAAGCATAAAAAGGAACTTATTGATCCATGAAAAGTCAAAGGGTACCCAAATGTCCACTGTACTGACAAATGGATAAACAAAATAGAGTATATCCATACAGTGGGATATTAGTTAGCAATAAAAAGGAATGAAGCACTCTACATGCTGTATCATGGATGAGCCTTGAAAACATTATGCTAAGTGAAAAAAGCCATCTATGCAAAAAAAAAAAAAAATCCACCTATTGTATGGTTCCATTTATATATGGAGTGTCCCAAACAGGCAAATCTGTAGAGACCACAAGTAGATTAGGTGGAAACAAAGATGGTCATTGGAGGGGGGGGGGATGGGGTAACTGGGTGATGGGCATTAAGGAGGGCACATGATGTAATGAGCACTGGGTGTTATATGCAACTGATGAATCACTAAACTCTACCTCTGAAACTAATAATACACTATATGTTAATTAATTGAATTAAAAATTTTAAAAAGATTGTCATTGGAAAGTCCAGACTCATGTTCCACCAGCTTAGCAAATCCAAAGCCAAGAAGACACCTCTTTCCTGACGGCACCAGCAAATCTGGAGTAGAGGTCTCACTGCATCACGTACCCATTTCTGAACCAGTTGCAGTAGTCTGGGGGAATATATGCTCTGATTGGCCAAACCTGGGACACAGGCTCATGTCCTTTGTGGAGAAAGTCTTGCCAGTGCCTCTCAGACTACAGGAATGGAGCACAAGAGGAGTGGCTCCCCTCAGGAAAACAACAGCGCTGTCATCACAAGAGATAACAGATGCTAGACGGGCAAAAACAGTACACGACCACCTCACCAAGCCTACCAAAGAGTCTCATCAACCTAGAATCTCTTGATGAATTAGTGGAGTTAAAACTTTGTAAGATGTGGAAATCTTTCCAAGTCAGTTCAATTCCATGAACATTTATCTAACACCTACCAGCATGCTAGGGGTCCCTATGCCGGGGTACAGGTGAGAGACTAAGGATACAGGTGAGAGACTAAGAACGCAGAGGTGAGTGAGACTCAGACCCTCTTCTCCTGTTCATAGCCTGATATAGGGGTTCTTGAGCTTTATTGTACAAAACAATTTCACCTTGGGGATCTTATTAAAGATCTGTATTTCTGGGCCACATTGTAAGATTTTCTGGTTTGGGAGGGGTGGGGTTGGCTCTAGAAATGTCTTCAACCATGCACCTGAGGTGATTATGCTGCATGAGGTCCAGGGACTACTCTTTATGGGATTCTCTGATACGATGGAGAAGAAAGACATGCAAAAAGGAAGGGACAGTACATCAGAGAGTTGCCACAGGACTAGGGTGAATGCCTGAGAGGCAGGGAGGACGCAGTGTCCTTGTTTAGCTTATATTATGCATTTTGCACAAGATATGGTTTCCCATAAAGGAAACTATGGGATTACATCCAGCCTACTATGAATGTTTCTGATTATGATGAGCCTGGGGATATTTGGAAGATGAGAAACTAAGAGTTGGCTTTTGTTCATTTGCTTGTAACAACCCTGTATATTTGCTCTCCTTTAATTCCAGTGAGAATTTTTAGCGATAGTGCAAATGAATTTACCCTTCAGAATCTATCCTACCCCGGGTGCCTGGATGGCTTACTCAGTTGAGCGACTGGCTCTTGGTTTCAGCCCGGGATCATGAGATCGAGCCCCTCGGTGGACTCTGCACTTGGGACTCTCTCCCTCTACCTCTGAGCTTCCCCCCTGTTGGCCAATGCGTGCACTCCCCCCACCCCTCTCTCAAATAAATAAACCTTAAAAAAGAAAGAATTTATCTTACCCTTTAGTACTTCCTTAACTGAAAGTTATCCCTCTTCATCTTTCTTTCTTCATCCTTCTTTGTTTCTTTCAAATTGTTTCAATATATCATTTCACTTCTATTTTATTTTTTAATTTATTTGTCAGAGAGAGCACAAGCAAGGGGAATGGCAGGCAGAGGGAGAAGCAGGCTCCCCACTGAGCAAGGAGCCCAATGCAGGGCTCGATCCCAGGACCCTGGGATCGTGACCTGAGCCGAAGGCAGACGCTTAACGGACTGAGCCACCGAGGCATCCCTCATCACCTTTAAAAATAATTTACTGTTAGGGCGCCTGGGTGGCTCAGTTGTTTAAGCGACTGCCTTCGGCTCAGGTCATGATCCTGGAGTCCCTGGATCGAGTCCCGCATCGGGCTCCCTGCTCGGCAGGGAGTCTGCTTCTCCCTCT